GTATTTATTTAGATTAATACCTCTAATTCATTTATTTCCTTTTAGTTCCATAGAGATTTATAACACATATTGACAGAATTGTGGATAAGCTGAATTTCACTAACATGACAGAATTTACTCTTTTGGGATTAACCAGTAGAATAGAATGGCAAGTTCTCTTCTTCATCATTTTACTTATAGTCTATATTATTAGCATGCTGGGCAACCTTGGGATGATTATGTTAATTAAGGTCAGTCCACAGCTCAGCAACCCCATGTACTTTTTCCTCAGTCATTTGTCATTTATTGACATCTGGTTTTCTTCCAATGTCACTCCTAAAATGTTGGAAAACCTGTTATAAAAGACAAAAACTATTTCTTATGCTGGTGTTTAGTACAATGTTTCTTCTTCATTTGTCTTATCCATGTGGAAATTTTTATTCTTGCTGCGATGGCCTTTGATAGATACATGGCAGTTGGGAACGCTCTGCTCTATGGCAGAAAAATGTCAAGGATATTCTGTATTTGGCTGATTTCTTTTCCTTATATGTATGGTTTTCTGACTAGTCTGGCTGCAACATTATGGACTTATGGCTTATACTTCTGTGGAAAAATTGAGATCAACCACTTCTACTGTGCAGACCCACCTCTCATCAAAATGGCTTGTGCTGGGACATTTGTAAAGGAGAATACTATGACCATACTTGCAGGCATTAACTTCACATATTCCCTGACTGTGGTTATCATCTCTATCTATTCATTCTCATTGCTGTTCTAAGAGTGCACTCAACAGAATGTAGGAGGAAGGACTTTTCTACTTGCGGGTCCCATCTGACAGCTGAGGTCATATTTTATGGTACTCCGATCTTCATGTATCTCAGGTGACCTGCAGAGGAGTCCGTGGAGCAAGGGAAGATGGTGGCTGCGTTCTACACTACAGTGATCCCCATGTTGAATCCTATGATCTACAGTCTGAGGAACAAGGATGTGAAGGAAGCCATGGACAAAGTGATTAGCAGAACATGTTTAGCAAAATAAAGCCTGAGATAATTTTTCTATTATTTATTTGGTAACAGGTTATTAGCCAGTAAATGGGTATATAAACTTAAAGATCTTTTGTGAGAAGAAAAGAAAGGAAAAAATAGCAATGAAAAGTAGAAATAATAGTAGAGTGACCAATTATTGTGGAAAATTGATTAAAATGTGTAAAATAATTCATTGGAAAGATGATTTGCATCAAAGTTCATAGTTGCACTAATTTAGATTGTTCAAATATTAGCTATTTTATTTATTTTCATAATTTTATTTTCTATAATCAAAAGTGCAGAAGATGAATTTGAGAAATATTTATTTACCCTTTTTAGAAACTAATTTTTAACATAAATACCACATACTAAAGTTAGTTTTCTAGTATAAGGATATAAATATGCTGGTCTCAATGATGATTATAAGATTGTTTAATGCTTAATGCTTCTTTCATCATGAGGGATGAGTCTGTCCAGACACTACTATTTGAAAAGAGAAACACTATTGTATTTAATTCTCTTTCAGATTTTTTAGTGTTCCTTAACATAACAGGGTGTTTTCTATTTTACTGATTTCTGTAACTGACGTGTTTCAACTCTAAGTTTTAAAATGACTAAACTGTGAGCTTTTCACATGTCCCCAACATTGTCTTCGGTCTGACTAAAGAGTGGATAGAATTAGTGGGTGAATGTGTCATTGTAAGAACATGACTCTAAAATATATTCAATTGATAATCCCATAGAATACCAAATATATCTGTGTCTAAGATATGCCAATAACATTTTAGTTATTGTTGCATTTTAAAGAAAAAATACTTTAGATGGCATTTTTGTAGTTAGCAATAACAAGTCCTTCCAAAATAATAGTAATATAATTTGATATTTGTCCTGCATTTCATTGCATGAGGTACAAGTCTGAGGTAACAACAATTTACTTTATTAAATTTTATGTACTCAGGCATACATATAAATAAATCATTCTCTTTTTTGGTGCAGAAAGAACAGTTAAATAAATGAAATATACACACACATATATACACATATATATACATCAATACATATATATGTGGATATATATATCTATACTTTTATATTTTCCAATATACATTTTCTTAGATATTGTATATTATATCATAATTCTATGCTATAAATGAGCTTATCTAATGGATTTCCTCCATAATAAGTGAGAAGGAACTCAAGATTTCTGGGTACTTGGGTACACAGGAGAAAGAGAAAATTTACCTGGAGTACAGTTTTGTCCATAGTTTTGTGGACCAAATTGAGACAATATATAGTTTAGAATTGTTGAAAAATATAGATTGATTTTTAACTTTTTAGCTTTCTAAACTGGGTCTACAAATACAGCCTCATATACATATGCCTAGTCTATTCTTCAAAGTAAGGATACATTAGTCACAATCTCAGAATTGTTGTGAGATAATAATTGTAAACATTGTAAAAATGAAACTAATACATAAAGTCATCTTTAGTGCTTTATATGAAATGTGTGTTGGTGGCAGAAATATCCTGTGTTATCTGAGATCATCACAGCCACACTGTTAGAGAGTAATTTCTACTTTCCACAGATGAGAATATTGAAGCTGAGGAGACTGCTACTTGCCCAAGCTCATATAAAGTGTTAGAATCAAGGTTTTGATTCTGGATATGTTTGACAAGAGTCACTCATCTTCACCAGTGATTTCCATTCACACTCATCCTTCCAGATCCTGCCAGGTAATTTATGCTTTCACACGCCTGACACTGGAGAACAATTTTGAGATATGTAGAACAGGCATTTCTGATCATGTCTATCTCACACGTGGTGCTTTTCATAACAGTTGCATTAAAAAAAGTAATTTACCAATAATTTCATGGTGGGCTCCAATAATATTTTTCTGGGATGCCTAATTGCCCATGTGTGAATGTAAGAGGGCAGAACCCATGTGACAGTGAGAAATATGTCACAATATCATGAATTTCAATCTCTCAATTTTAAGAATTATTATTCCACCTTTGCTTCTTCCCCCAAGATTTTTCTAGTGTTTTAGTAATTGTTTCATAATTACCCAGACAATACCATAGAGAGTTAGTCTCCATGCTCCTAATACTCAAGACTCTAATATAAATAGTGAGAAATTAACATTTACTGCTGTTCTTTGCTGAATGTAGGTATGCAAGTTTTAGAATCTGCAATATGGATTTATGCAATCAGAATTGGATAATTTTAGGTGTTATTTTGAAAAGAAACTAAGCTCTTATTCATAGATTTATTTTTATCAATATTTTGTTGTCTTGATTTACACATTATTGTTTTTAAATATACATGAATGGAGTTGGGAATAACTAATTGAATAATTTACAATTCTATTATTTATATTCATGGGACATTAAGTGAAGTATTAATAAAATATTGTGCCAACATGATTATTTTAATAGCTGATATGAGCCTACATCATAAATTGGTTTTCTCACCAATTATTATTTATTTCTTATCCTAGATCAATGGAATCACCTAAATTTAGAAGGATAGGGAGAGACAGTGGTCTTCTGTCTTTATTATCTAGCTCAACTGTTAATATTATTTCATTAAAGATGAAGCATGAAAAGATGATTTTTGTCTGTATTGGCAGATAATCAACACTGAATTTTAAATGAAAAGAGATGGCAATACAAGATAATTTAGAGTAGAAATTGGGGTCAAATTCTTTGGTTTGTAGCAAAGTCTTGTAATTAGTAGATTTCTGACTTAGGAAGATCTAAATCTGTCACTGCTTTACTTTTATCACTTGCAAAAGAAACGTGCAAAAAGAATATGTTTCGTAGGACTTTGCATGCAAAAAATATAGTGTTCATTCATTAAATACTAGCTATTCATACAAATATTATAAAACGTTGGCCTGTTGAAGAAAACAAATCCTTTTTAGAGAATCTTCATAGTATTGGGATCATGTATGTTATGAAATGCAAATATGGGATATGATCTTGATACAAAGATCAGAACACTTTTAAAATCTTACTTGATGCCTATTTTTGAACATCTTTTATATGTTATTACAAAGGCAATTTGTACAATTCCAAAACAGATAAGACAGTTCCTACTACCACACAGCTAACAATTACATGTGGAGAAACAGAAATGCCAATATCACCCAATGATTGAAACAAGTTCAGATAGAATTAGTTTATGTTCTTAGATCCCTCAATGCTATAGCTTATATATTTTATAGCTAACATAAAATGGAAGTACAATCCACAAGTAGTACCAAGTTAAATTCAGATAATGAGAGAACATGGGTGTTTCCTTAATGTTGGAAAAATTTTAGTGATAACAGGGCTTGAACTCAGTGCCTGAGCTTGCTAAGGAGGCACTTTACCACTTGTGCCATGCCTTCACCTCCAAGGTTAGAATTTTTATATAGGAAAATCCCTGACTTCAGCTCTATGTCATAATCAAACTCTGTAGCTGTCATCTACTTAATATTTGTCACACCTGAAATGAATAAAAAGATCTAATCTATAACCATGGAAATCTCTAATAGTGGATCTTTATTCAGAGTTTAAAATTCAGACCCCCTTTATGTTTTTAATCAGTTCATTTAAATTATAATGCATTTAATGACCATATTAGACATTGTGAAATATCTACATGTTTTGAATTATTTTATTTGGATAAGGAAAATTATAATTCAAAAGTGTCAAGAATGAGCTGGTGCCAGTGGTTCATGTTTGAAATCCTAGATACTCAGGAGGCCAAGATCAGGAGGAATGCAGTTTGAAGCCAGTCCAGGCAAATAGTACCACAAGACCCTGTCTCGAAAAAAATCCTTAACACACACACAAAAAAAAAAAACAAGGGTTGGTGGAATGATTCAGAGTATAGGCCCTGAGTACAAGCCCCAGTAGTGCAAAAAAGAGAAGTTTCAAGAATTAAATAAACATAACCACATTTTAAAAAATTTCTCCATAGGAAACACAGACTCTGTCTATGTTAAGGCAATGAGAAATTTTACCGATGTAGCAGAATTCCTTCTTATGGGGTTGACCAGTCGTCAGGAGCTTCAGGTCCTCTTTTTTGTGGTGTTCCTAGTAGTTTACATGGTCACTCTGTTAGGAAACATTGGTATGATCCTTTTGATCAGCATCAGCCCCCAGCTTCAGAGCCCTATGTACTTCTTCCTGAGTCATTTGTCTTTTGTGGATGTTTGGTTCTCTTCCAATGTTACCCCTAAAATGCTAGAAAACTTATTATCAGAGGCAAAAACCATTTCCTGTGTGGGATGTCTGGTGTAGTGCTACTTTTTCATTGCTCTTGTACACGTGGAGGTCTATATCCTGGCATTGATGGCGTTCGATAGTTACTTGGCCATCTGCAAACCTTTGCTTTATGGAAGTAGGATGTCTAGGACTGTGTGTGTTCGGCTTATCTCTGTGCCCTATATCTGTGGCTTCTCTGTGGGTCTAATGTGCACACTGTGGATGTATGGCTTATATTTCTGTGGAAACTTTGAAATCAATCACTTCTATTGTGCAGATCCTCCTCTCTTCAAGATTGCCTGTGGAGGAGTGCATATCAAAGAATACACAATGATTGTCATTGCTGGAATCAACTTCACATATTCCCTCTCAGCGGTCCTCATCTCCTACACCCTCATAGTCATTGCTGTGCTATGCATGCACTCTGCTGACAGAAGAAAGAAAGCATTCTCCACCTGTGGATCTCACTTGACAGCTGTTTCTATGTTTTATGGGACCCTCATATTCATGTATCTCCAGAGGCCAACTGAAGAGTCTGTGGAGCAGGGAAAGATGGTGGCTGTGTTTTACACCACTGTGATCCCCATGTTGAATTCCATGATCTACAGTTTGAGGAACAAGGATGTAAAAGAGGCAGTCAACAAAGCAATCACCAAGGCAAACTTGAGGCAATGAAACTGTAACAGATATTTTAGTAGATGTACAGTAGTACATCATCTGTATGGTGTATGACCAAGTGTAAAATTCCTAGCTCAAATAACACTTTCTAAAGACAATCCTTAAAAAAACTAAAAGGTCCAATCTAACAGAGTGGCACTTTACCTCATGAATACAAAATAGTTATTAAGCATGATTTATTCTTTATAGTCAACCGTGTTGCAGTGACACAGTGTCGTTGGCATTTGGAATGCAACTGGGTGAATGTAATCACACAATTATTGGAATAATTTACAAGTAAGTTTAGATGTGTAGCTGATAATATAGGAATCTCTTTCTTAGAGTTGCACATTATTCTTAGGGTACCTTTTTTATGTACATTTCTTCATCATAGATTTAATATGAAAGATGCAGTTTTAGCAGGAAAAAATATACAAGAACTCATTTACTTCCCATGACAATAGGAATTTGGTTGGTATGACGTACCTAAAATGTTCATATAAAAGTATATTTTTAGCAATGAAATTGTATTCAGAATTTTCAAGTAGTGTCTTTCCACTGTTATAAAGTGTTCTTCAGTTTGTGTTTTTCCATAGTTAATGACATTTGTCTTTCAGCAGTCTGTTTTTCCACTTCAACTCCTTGGAGTTAGACTTTGGTATATATGTAGGAAAATGAAATATTTTGGAAAAGAAGACAGTCCTATCTTCATCATAATCAAAACACGAATAAGTATAAATTTTCTGATATTTAACATCTGACTTTTACCATACAATATCATCACATTATACATTTTTGTTGATAATATGATTTGAAACTGTTTGCTCTCATCTTTTTTCAATAACAATACATTATAAATTTTGAGTTAGCAGCTCACCAGATTTTTATGGCTAGAATTTATTAGTTATTCAACTAAATGCTAGTGCATGATCATTCATTCAAATGTGATCAATACATTTTAAAATGTAGGGCCTGATGAAAAAATCTTATAAATATTAATGTTTAGTTTATCTAGATTGGTATATTCACAGTTTACTTATTTTACAATCTGTTCTTGATAAATGCAAAATGGACATTTGTGTACCCATAGTGAACCTTACTACCTTATGAACATAAAGCCAAGTGGAAGTAGAAGTGAATGCTAATTTTCCTGATTTGATCATTGCACAGCATATGGACGTGTTGAAACACAACATCAAAATCCATAAATTTGCTAAACTATTGTATTAATTAAAGAGAAAACAAAATGAAACAAAAATAAAAAGATAGAAAACAAGTGTTGGCAGAGAAATATGTTAATCTTATGTAGCAAGATTGGGGTTTAGGTGGTATGGCCAATTGGTCAAATTTGGTCCATGGTTGCTGACTGTTTTAGTTTAGTCTGTCAGCTAAATTTTTTTCTATATATTTAAATAATGTATGGGGAGAAAAATTATATTTCTAATACACATAAATTATGTTAACTTTGAATCTCAACATCCATAAAAATAAATACAAAAATACATAGCTTAATGTTATAATGTCATCTCATGAATCTAACAGCTAAATTTAATGATGACATCTTTTCTAAGATAACTTGGAATGAATTAAGCTAAAGTACTTTTCAGACACAGCTAATTAAATCCTAATATAGTCACTTTTATCAACAGTGACTGAAATATAACATGAAATAATTTATCTCACACATTTTTGTACTTTAAATGTTTCACTATAATTTTTGTCACTTTCTACTTGTGAAATTGAGCGAAAAATTATGAATTAAAGTTGTTATGTAAGGTTTAGTTTTCAGATTTATTTAAATGTAGTTATTAAATCAATTTAAGTAAAACATTTTTAGCAGTTTATGTGATGTATCAACATAGGGCTAAAGATTGGAAACTGCAACTCTGCCAGTGCATGTGCACACACACACACACACACACACACACACACACACACACACACACATACATCTTCCATATAGTTACTACACAAATATTCCATATAGTATAATATAGGGTGTGTAGTTTACACATTGCTTTAGTTAGGTTACATGTAGGAATTTTGAGGGTGCTATCAACCTATTACCCACTGATCTCATAATGTTTGCATATTATTAACCTCTTTAATTTTTTCCAGAGTTCAATAATTTCAACAATATCTAGGTATTAAATGATTGAAGTGAGGCTCAAAAATCCAGTGTGTTTATTGTGAAAAGTCTGTTGTTAATGATTGGTTCATTTCAGTGATATAATAATAGTGTATCTCAAATATCAAAGAATTCTCAGAAAGTCCTGCGAACCAGTTGTCTTGGAATTTGAGACAAATGCCGTTATCTTGGAGGGTGTGTCTGCTATGTCAGAGGAGGTGGGGATGGGTTTGGAATGTTTCTATTCCTGTGAATGTCTGTGGGTGTGTGACTCAATGTAATTGAGCAAGACAGGAAATATTATACCCCACTGTGTCCTTCATAAGATATAATAAATTGTTTTATGTAATCGTCAAGGATGCAATAATATGTAAGTCATTGTATGGTTTTGAAATGGTTCACAGTCAATTACCATGAAACATTCAGGAAGCTGTAAGAAGAGAATGATTTAAAGATAGAGTTTATAATTAAAAGATAAAAGATAATGTTGGCGAGGATGTGGGGAAAAAGGAACCCTTGTACACTGCTGGTAGGAATTCCATCTAGTGCAACCACTCTGGAAAACAATGTGGAGGCTTCTTAAAAAACTGAACATAGATCTGCCATATGCTCCGGCAATCCCACTCCTGGGGATATAGCCAAAGGAATGCGACTCAGGTGAGTCCATAGGCACCTGAACACCAGTGTTTATTGCAGTGCTATTCACAATAGCCAAGTTATGGAAACAACAAGATGCCCCACTACTGACAAATGGATTAAGAAAATGTGGTATTTATACACAATGGAATTTTACTCAGCCATGAAGGAGAATGAAATTCTATCATTCGCAGGTAAATAGATGGAACTGGAGAACATCATCTTAAGCGAAGTTAGGCAGGCTCAGAAAGCCAAAAATCGTATGTTCTCCCTCATATGTGGAGTTTAGATCTAAAACAGATGCAATAATATTATTAGACTTGGGTCACATGCTAAGGGGAGGACACATACATGAGGAATAGGGAAAGGTAGGAAACCCAAAACTTGAAAGTGTTTGATGTCCCCACTGCAGAGGAGCTAATATAGTAACCTTAAAGCAACAGAGGTCAATATGGGAAAGTGACTCAGAAGTAGTGAAATGGTCTGGTAGACATAAATCAATTCGGGTTATAATACACTTGTGCATGGAAGCAATGCTAGGAATCTCTCTGTACAGCTACCCTTATCTCAACTAGCAAAAATACTTTGTCCTTCTTATTATTGCTTATGTCTTCTGTTCAAAAAAATTAGGGAAAAAAGCAGAACAGGTTCTGCCTAGAATTGAGGGGGATGGGGGGGAAAGGGAGGAGATGGGGGGCAGGGAGGAAAAATTGCTCAAACAATGTATGCACATATGAATAAATGAATAAAGAAAACAAAATAAAATTACAAAAAAAGGAAAAAATTAAAAAGATAATGTAAAGATTTTGAAAACACTCAGCCCGGCTAAGTGTGGGCAGCCACACCCAGCCTCAAAACTTGATTCTTAATACCTCAATTCTATACCTTACTATATCCTTGGAAGAAATTAGATATTAATTTGTATCCATTTTTGCTTCACCATTTCATGAGGTCTTTTCCAAGAAACTCCCATTGTAGAGTGAGATGATTATAAATCACCTTTGTTCCAATTTCTAGAATATTTCTCTGCAATGACCTCTGATATTCTTGTAAGATTCTTGCTTAGATTCAGAAAATCTCATCATTCCTTTTCTCTTTACCATGCTGTATGGTATAGTCTGTGTTGTCTAGCAGTGCCTCTATCAGATGTTTTTGGAGGTGCATCTTTACCTATTGTCATTTATTATGAATTGAATTGTGTCTTCCCAAAATATATGATGAAGTTTTTCAGTGTTTCAAAATAACTTTATTTTGGAAATAAGATCATTAAAAGATGTAATTAGTTGAGATGGGGACATATCAAATATAAAAGGCCTTTAGTCCAGTGTGACTGTCATCCTTACAAAGACAGAAATTTGGACACAGACATAGAAAAGGAGAGCCTTGTGAAGCAGGAAACACATATTGACATTAGCCTGCTGTAAGTCAAGGAAATGTCTAGATGCTAAAAGTGGAAAGAAAGGACCCTCCTCTAGTGTCTTCAGAAGAGAAAAGCCTTGCCAATACCTTCACTTTGAGTTTCTAGCCTCCAGAATCATGAGAAAAAAATTTTGGCATTCAGTTTGTGGCATTTTTTTCCCACAGGGTGATCAAACCTATACATCTTGTTTCTGTATGGTTGCCATGTTGAAACTGTGGTTTCCATGAGCCTTTACCAGTTTACCTGATTACACCTTGGGAGAATTAACTAACATCTCTTTCAGTTGGGGAGAGCCCCAAACTTATCTAAACCATTAAAACCAAAAAACAAAGAACTCTTGGTTGTTAGTTCTGCAACACTCCACATAAATCCAGGGGACCACTCAGGAAGGAGCACAGGTATCCCTCTCAAAGATTCAATAACCTTAAATTCTGCTCAAATTGCCAATCTCTGTTGTATCTGCCCAGGAAAATGGTTCCTTTTTCCATTATGAGTTTTGTCTCCAGCTTCAATTTGTTGTTTAGGCTCTGGGCTATGTAATGCATTATTTTTATAATTATAAAGCAAATAACTAAATGTCTCCTTTTTCAGAGCTTTCCCTTCAATATTGACAGTCATGGTTTTAACAATCAATATTTTTCTGCTAAGAGTGAATATTTCTCTCCAAAACCGAACTTATGAGATTGAAAACCATATTTCACTCCAGAAATTGTTCATTGAGAACAATATATTTAGAACACGTTGATATTGCTTTAATGATAGTGCTTTGATTGGGTGATGCAGACATAAGAATAATTTTCAAAGTAGTCTATTATGATAATATTAATATTATCT